ACTTCATAATTCCATCTTCCCAAAATTTTTTATCTTTTTGAGCAAAGAACTGTTCTAGGTGCCTTTTACAGTCTTCCGGGGAATTGAAATTTTTTTCCATTAAGAGAATTTTGTAAAGACCGAAATAAATGGAAATCCGAAGGTGCAATGTCTGGTGAATATGGTGGATGAATCAGAACTTCCCAGCCAAGCTGTAACAGATCTTGCCTAGTCGTCCAAGAAATATGCAGTCTTGAGTTATCCTGATGGATGATTATGCATTTTTTGTTGACTAATTCTGGATGCTTTTCATCAAGTGCAGCTTTCAGTTGGTCTAATTGGGAGCAGTACTTGTTGGAATTAATCGTTTGGTTTTCCAGAAGGAGCTCATAATAGAGGACTCCCTTCCAATCCCACCATATACACAACATCACCTTTGCATGAAGACGGATATTTGGTGTGGTTGGTGGTGGTTCATTTCGCTTGCCCCACAATCTCTTCCGTTCCACATTGTTGTAGAGTATCTACTTTTCATCACCCGTCACAATTTGTTTTAAAAATGGAACGTTTTCATTACATTTCAGTAGAGAATTGCATGTGGATATATGGTCAAGAAGGTTTTGTCCGCTTAACTTATGTGGAACCCAAACATCAAATCAATTCATATAACCAAGCTGGTGCAAATGATTTTCAGCGCTTGATTTGGATATTTTGAGTATGTCAGCTATCTCCTGTGTGGTATATTGTTGATTGTTCTCAATTATTGTTTTGATTTAATCGCTATCAACTTTAACTGGTCTACCCGACCGTGGAGCATTGTCCAGTGAGAAATCTCCATCCAGCACGGGAATTTCACAAACCACTTTTGACACATTTGATCAGTCACAGCACTTTTTCCATACACTGCACAAATCTTTTTTTTACGTTTCAGTTGTGTTTTTACCTTTCTTGAAATAATAAAGCATAATATGCTGAAATTGTTGCTTTTTTTCTTCCATCTTCAATATTAAAATGCCTACACAAAAATTCACCAATTTTAGTAAGTCTTTTTTTAAATGCACACAGATATGACGGCTGTCACATATAATCTAGCAAAAATGTTTCAAATGAAGTTAAAGACAACTAAGAGCTACTAGAACCATCTTATGGAAAAAATCAAATGAACCTTATGGCCAACCCAACACATATACATAGTGAAATGATTACTACGGTCAAGTCAGTTAATATATTCTTTCTTTACATAGTTACCATGTTTTGTTTGTGACAAGTGCACCTGAAATTTATAGTCAGCATATTTCCTTGGTTCAATACAGTATATTTTTTTTAGTTTAATTTATTTTTGGCTGCGTTGGGTCTTCATTGCTGTGCACAGGCTTTCTCTAGTTGCAGCGAGCGGGGGCTACTCTGTTGCAGTGCACGGGCTTATTGTGGTGGCTTCTTGTTGCCGAGCACAGGCTCTAGGCGCGCAGGCTTCAGTAGTTGTGGCACATGGACTCAGTAGTTGTGGCTCCGTGGGCTCTAGAACACAGGCTCAGTAGTTGTGGCGCACGGGCTTAGTTGCTCTGCAGTATGTAGAATCTTCCTGGACCAGGGCTTGAACCCGTGTACCCTGCATTGACAGGCGGATTCTTACCCACTGCACTACCAGGGAAGTCCCCAGTATAGTATAAGTATAGTCATCATCCCTGTACATTGGGTCTTTAAACTTATTCATACTCACATAACTATAAATGTGTACCCTTTGACCAACATCTCTCCAATTCCCCCACCATCCCAGCCCCTGGTAACTATCCTTCTACTCTCTACGACTATAACTTTGATTTTTTTTTTTTTAGATTCCACATACCATATATGGAATTTTATATATATATATATATATATATATATATATATATATATGATACATCTTTATCCATTCATATGTTGGTGGACACTTAGGTTGTTTCATATCTTGGCTATTGTTGAACAATGCTGAAATAAACATGGGAGTATAGATATCTCTTTGATATCTTGTTTTCAATTTCTTTAGCTTTTTTTTTTTTTGCGGTACACAGGCCTCCGGACGCGCAGGCTCAGTGGCCATGGCTCACAGGCCCAGCCGCTCTGTGGCATGTGGGATCTTCCCGAACCGAGGCACGAACCCGTGTCCCCTGCATCGGCAGGTGGACTCTCAACAACTGCACCGCCAGGGAAGCCCCTCTTTAGCTATTGACATCCAGAAATTGGATTGCTGCATAATATGATAGTTCTATTTTTAATTTTGAAGGAAACTTCATACTTTTTTCCATAGTGGATGTACCACTTTACATTCCTATCGACAGTGCATAAGGTTCTATTTTCTCCACATCCTTAACAACATTTGTTATTATTTTTTTGATGATAGCCATTCTAACAGTGTGAGTTAATATTTCATTGTGGTTTTGGTTGCATTTCCCTGATAATTAATGATGCTGAGAAGTTTTTCATGGACCTGATAGCCATTTTTATGTCTCCTTTGGAAAACTGTCTATTCAGTTCCTCTGCTCATTTTTTAATTGAATCATGGTGGGTTCTGCTATTGACCTGTGTGAGTACTTTGTATATTTTAACCCCTTATTAGATATATGATTTGCAAATATTTTCTCCATTCTGTAAGTTTTCATTTTGTTGCTGGTTTCCTTCTCCGTACAGAAGCTTTTATGTTTTGATGAAGTCTCACTTGTTTATTTTTGCTTTTGTTGCGTTTGCCTTTGGTGTCAAATCCAAAAAGCTTTGCCAAGACAACTGTCAAGGATCTTGCTCCCTATATTTTCCTCTAGGAGTTTTACAGTTTCAGATCTTGAATCTGTTTTTAATTCATTTTGTGTTGGTTTGTACATATGGTACAAGATAGGGGTCCCATCTCATTCTTTTGCATGTGATTGTCCAGTTTTCCCAGCACCATTTATTGAGGAGACTATTCTTTCCCCATTGTATATTCTTGGCACCTAGTCATAAACTAATTTATATGCATTTGTTTATTTGGGGGCTCTTTATTCTCTTCCATTGATCTATGTGTCTGTTTTTTTTGTTTGTTTGTTTTTGTTTTTTTGCGGTATGTGGACCTCTCACTGTTGTGGCCTCTCCCCCTGCGGAGCACAGGCTCCGGACGCGCAGGCTCAGAGGCCACGGCTCATGGGCCTAGCCGCTCTGCGGCACGTGGGATCCTCCCGGACTGGGGCACGAACCCACGTCCCCTGCGTTGGCAGGCGGACTCTCAACCACTGCGCCACCAGGGAAGCCCTATGTGTCTGTTTTTATGCTGACATTATGCTGTTTTGATTACTATAGCTTTTACAATATGTCTCATATTGAAGCCTCCATCAGGTACATTTTGACATTGGGGCCCAGCTCCTGTCTCTGGAAGTTCCAGTCCATGTGTGTATCCCTTCAGGAAATAGAACTTGCTCATTTTTCTGAGTTTTGTCTTGGTAAATGCCTAGCATTCTCGTTCTGTCACAGAAACAGGGCTCAGCCATGCCCAAGACCAAAATCAGGTTCCCTGGCTGATGCCTGGTTTCTGATACCTATAGATGCCCTTTGGCCTCCTGAGATTTCTCAGCATTTTTCAAGTAAATCCACCATTACCATGCCCCTTTACCATAGGGTTTTTGTTACCAACTATTTTCAAAATGTTTTAGTCAGCCCCTATTACAAGGAGAGTTTCCTTGTTCTTATCAGCCCCAATAGGTATGAGAGTCCTTGGTCTATGCCTTATCTTATTAGAGGTTAAGTGGGCAAAATCTACCAAATCTAAGAAATGGCAGTTTTACAAAGGTTCACCTCATTGTCTTCATGCTCAAGAGCTAATGACTGGAGGGGATTGGACTGCTGCTGTCCTTCAGAAGAAGTGCCATATTAACCTAGGAATGCAGTTTTAATGGCAGTCCCATTAAGAAGGATTTGGGGATTTTCAACACTTCTTGAATCATTTCAAGCAAAGCTCATTTCATTAAAAAAAAAATTGCCATTATCTGTGGGTTCAAAATCTGGTAGATATTGACCAAGAGCCAACCTGGGAGTTGTGAGGCTCAGGGAAATACCTTTGTCTTATCAAAAAGGAAAAATACATACATATTCTTTTTGTATTTTCCTAAAAGTTGCATTTATTCTTCTAATCACTACAGTAATGAAAGAAATAATTTATAATTGAATCACACTGAGGTTAAGTATTCCCAAAATATAGGAATATTTTTCCAGTCCATAATGTCATAACTGGCAATTCTCCCTTTTAAACTGACCCTGTTTGTGGTAGCTCAGTGGTTCTCAATCCTTGCAGACCCAATGCCTTATTTTTTATTGCAAATATTTGGCAACATTTTTACCATTCTAAAATAAAATTCATAGATAATACAACCCTTCCATACATGTAATGTTCTAACTGTAATATAAATGAGTAGTGAAAGAGAAAGTTATTTATAATAAAATATATGTATTTCTGTGTAAATGCTCAGACATGATCACAAAAGGAGACAAAATGAGGCAGTCTGATGTTGGCACCTATATCTAATATCAACCTGAATACTGCAACTACAAATATTGTTTACAGGTGTGTTATGTTGTTTGTTAATGTCACAGATGATATTGCCATTGACAATGTGATTTTCCAAAGGAATGAACAATTCTTTTTAAAGTTCTGAGAAAAACAGAGTAAAATCTTTCCTCAATATCTATGGTAGCTACATTTCTGGAAATTTCAGAAAATTAAAACCATACCAAGAAAATACTATGTGTTTATGAAAACTGAATAAAACCTAACTAACTGCTCTGATTATTATGAGCATATGTTTCAATTCACAAATGTCTGGAAGAACATTCAAAAACACAGCAAGACCTGATAATTTTGAATTGTGTGCAAGGCAGGGTGTCTAGCCTCTGACCCCAGCCATCAAATGCCAGTGGTACTCTCTTATAATAGTGTTATCCAAAGTGGCCTGAGAGGCCAGTGTCACCCCCACTCCTGCATGAGATTCACTTGTAAAGCAAATAGAGACAAAAAACTGGCAAATTGAAATTTTTTGTTTATTCTGTAAATATTAATGAATAAGATATTTTATATATTGCATTTCTATATTTGGGATAGTATTTCTTATAGGTCCACAAAAATAGGCCCTTTATTATAATATCTGATAATACAGAGAAAAGCATAATTGCCAGACCTCAACATAATTTAAAGTCTGGAAGAGCAATACAATCTACAAGCTAACAGATATTATGACAGTAAGATATGGATATATAAGAAGAGAAATGATGTAATTTTCATAAATAATTTTTAAATTTTTAAAATATTTTACTATAATTATTTTCTTACACATTTTATGGGTGTAACAAATTTTCTCACAACTTTTTTGGGTCTTAGAAATTTTCTTACAAATATTATGGGTCAAATGAGAAGGAAAAAACTAAGAAAAGGTGGGAAAAGAAGACAAATAAGAAATTTAAAAACTATAACTATAACTTAAAAAGAAAGAAAGATGAATAAGTGAAAGTTTAAAGCAGGAAAAAATTTGGATAAGTCATGTATGTATGTTGTTGCTTTTTCTTCCTCAAAATTAATTTATATGACTCAGCAATTTTAGTGATCATAAAACCTCCAGGGGTATTTCTTATTCATCTGATAAATTTGTGGATGCATAGAGTATAACAAATAAAGAAAAATCTTTAAATCCTGAACATTTATCTTGCTGGGGAAAGAAAAAAGTTACCTTAATTCATTCCGTTCTTCTCTTCCTACCATGAATTGCTTCAGGTTCTGAAGGCTCAAATATGAAACTGGATCAGTTCTTTGGAAAGTTTCAAGATTGTGAAACTTTGAGGGAAATAGTAGAAATATGGGCACAAGGCAAAAAAATCCATAAGCCTGTGTTTCAATTTAGCAGCCCCATCTCATAGCCTAAATTAATGGTTTTCCCATATATTTCTCAAGAGTTCTTTTTTTTTTTACAATATTGTTTTTAATTAATTGAAGACACAACTTTAAGGGTGAGAGGGAACTCTAAGATTTCAGTATAACTTTGTCTGCAAGGGAAATCTAAATTGTGGCCCAGGATATCTAGAAATCCTCCAAAAAACAGAAAGGGGGAAAATTAAATCACTTCCCTTGGGAACTCATTTTAATGCCTAGCAGCATATTGGTCAGGAATATTGTCTAAGTTACAGTTTCACCATTTTTTAGATATACTCAGTAAGCTTTTAAATGATTTTTGGAGATATTGAGGGAGTTGATCCCATGTCCTTAAACCAAACCTTTCAAAGGACAAATCTAGAAAATTATTATAGCAGAAGGCCACAAAGAGATCTGTTTCTCTTGATGTCTAGATAAGTGACTTCCCACCAAAGTTATGGTAATCTAAAAAAGTTTTTTACTACTCTCTCCCCTTTTTGTGAGGGTGTGAGTTGAATAGTCATCTCATCTGGTTAGCCAAATAGAGTTTGTGTCTTTGAAATGACCATGATCAGGATTAATTTACCTAAGGTTAAGTGGAATGAAAAGAACTAGAGGGCTGAGTCCAATCCAAAGCCTAAGAAAAGACCATGTTTCAAACTGAGGAAACTAAAATAAGCTAGTAAAACTCAGAAACCATTAAACCATGGTACCTGGATGGGCCAAGTAGATATTTTATATTGGAAAATAATGCAGTATTGCAACACCAGGTAAATTGAACATTACTAGTCTTTGTATATGTATCATTCAGAGATGGTAGGAATTAAATAAGGGCTGAAATGAAGGCTCTGACATTTTATAGTCCTTTTATTTGGCTGTATTAAGGCATGGTTTTAATCAAGTAATGAAATAACTATTCCTGTTTCCACTCTCAATATTAAGGAAGTAATTCTGAATACTATACTTTGTGGTTAACGGCACAAAAGGCAATTCCATAGGTCAATTATCTTTTGCTTAAACCAACGGCTTCCCCCAAGAACAAAGAGCAGCAAATCAAAGCAGCTAATCGCTGTTAGACTCAAGAAGATTTCATTATAAAATGCAACATTGTCATTACAGTCACTTGAATGTGCCACAGTGTACAAGTAATAGATCCTAAAGAACTGGTAGGGAAGGAAGCAAATAAGAATGACGCCTATAAAAAGCAGGTTTTTCAACTGGGCCCAGAACTCCTGATGGGATAGTAAGGAGTGGTGTAGCTTCCGCACCATCAACACAATGATGATGCTCTGGAGGACAAAGAGAATCACTGCAATAACTATGACGATAATGGTTATCAAATAGTTGATGACTTGCACATATGCATAAACAAGTTCTTTCTGGAATTTAAAACAGTGGTATTTGTCATAACCCTCATGAATTCCATACTGAGAAACAACCAGGGGCACCACAATGATAATCACAAGTAGCCACAGGGCAGTACTGGCAGCCACAGCATGCAGTTTTCTGTAGAATTCCACTTTGTCCTTGTGCTTGAAGAAGATGAGGTACCTGATGGCTAGGATCACAACGTAGAACAGGAATGTGAGGTACATGTGGATGTGCAGCATGGCGCTCACAAATTTGCAGAAGGGCAACCCAAATGTCCAAGTGTGCTCGATGAGGTAGGTCAGGCGAAAAGGCACTGTCAGGAGAAAAACACTGTGGACCACCACCAGGTTGATGACTGCTGTGGTGGTCACAGACCGGGTGTTCATTTTCACCAGCAGGAACAAAATGGAGATGATGCCCACCAGCCCTCCAAAGAGCACTATGAAGTAGAGCCTGGTTAAATGGGGTGACCTTATAGGGTTATTGCAGGAGGAACTATTGTGGTCAGCCATACTTCAGGAGTCACCTGGAAGAGATAAAGCACCAGTATAACTAACCAACTTCCAGAATTTTGTTCATATTTTGTTCACATTGCACTGGCAATGTGACTTTGTCATTTATCTGTTTACATGACGTAAGCTTTATGTGCCTTAAGAATGAAGATTATTGTCATATGCATTTCTGTGTACTCTACACTGAAAGCACAGTTAAGTCATTGATTCTTGACCTTTAATGGTTAAAGACCTCATCAAGAGGTCTGTATATCTACACAGTAAAAACTATTTGCATAAAACTGATTGCAGACCATTTGAAGCTGATACATGGACACTATTACTGTAGCAACCACTGGGGGAAAACAAATCTTAAGATGGACAGAAAGATGAGTGGGTGCATTAAATACGTGGAATATTTTTTTCTTTTATGTATCATTATAATTCTCTAATTCCTTCCAGCTCATCAGCAAATGATCCAAGAATATTTATGCTTAATTCCTTTAGGATGCTGATGAGTTTGGCTAAAAAACGGGCTAAATGAAGGCAGCAGCAAACAATAGGAGGGTATATCTGAGTTTCTCATCACAGTTATATTATCATCTAAAAGTGAGACCTTGGCTAAGTTTTTATCATGGGCCCCACTAAGAATATAGCATGTCTCCTAATTCTCCCATTCCCCCACCTTTAAATTCATAAAAGAACCACTATCATTTTTCCTCTGGACTCCTGAAAGATTCTTTCCCTATACAGTCTTGGGCCCTTCTAATTATTATCCACATTCTAATTTATTATTTACTAATTAATAAATATAGTAAATAATAAAGACGTATTAATCTAAATACTTATTAATCTTTACTTACTCTAATCAGGACACCTCACTTTCTTATTTAAATTCCTTCAATGGCCTCCCATTTCTTCTAAGGTAAAACTCAAAATTCTTGCATGTTTAGAATGTTCTGAGTTGTGGCAAAATCTGATCCCTTGAGACCAGATTCAAGAAATAATCTAGAGATGAAATTGACAGGATTTGACATGAGTTGTATATTGGGAAATGAAGGGAGAGGAAGTGTCTCAGTGACTCTCAGATTTCTTACTTGAACAACGAGGTGATAAGAGGTCTGTTTACTGATACCAGGGAAACTGAGGCTCAAATTTAAGGAAGAGCAGTAGTTGAATTATGCACTTCATAATTATGCACTTTGTAACATGTTTGCAATTATTCATTTTTTTAACATCTCTTCATACAATCAAACTTACCTAGCAATAAAAATGAACCAACTACTGATAAAATACTGATGAATTGAAAAAGCATTATACTAAATCATGTATTCTCAATAGGGTAATATTGCCCCCAAGGGGGCAAACATTTGTTCTGGAGGTGTGAAAAATCTTACTTTTACTGTATAAAATACAGATATACATATAGTACATAAACAGACAAACAGTATATCTGTGGCATTAAAATTTCATAAGAGGGAGAGAGATAATTAGGGAAATAGGTCTAAAAAGGCTCTTTAGAAGGGCAATAAAGTTGAGAACACTATACTAAATAAAAGATGCCAGCCACAAAAGACTACATGCTGAATGATTTCTTTTTCTAAACAATCACAACTAATGTGACAGATCAGTGTAGTTTAGGGCCCAGGTTGCAGGGGAAGGGATTAACTTCAAAGGGGCATGGGGTAATTTATGGGATGATGGGATGTTTTATATTGTGTTGGTTACAATTGTAGTTATTTGTCAAAGCTCATTGAATTGTACACTTAAAATTGGTGAATTTTCTTGCATAGAACTTATACCTCAATAAGACTAATTAAAAAATAATAATAACCTGGCCCCAGAGAGCCTCTACTTTCCTGGGTATGGAATAGAATTTCCTTGCAGCCGACCTTAAAACTTGCCTCATGTTATACTGGTTCTGTGTGATGTGTAATCTCTGTACTTGCCTTTTATTTTTCTCTGTAGAAAAGTAGTTCCATCAGGTAAATGTGAAATTATACTGTGTTCATATCTGATTCAAGGATGAACGTGCCACCATAAGTTCTGCTCATCATTTTTTCAGCTATTTACCTAGAAGGACCAGCTTCTAAAAGAAGAAAATATGATCAGTTGCATATCATCTTTCTCAAGTCCTCCTTCCTTATCACCAACTGCCATGGTCTCTCTCTTTCAGATAGAAGAAGCTCATGTTAAATCTCTTCTATGTACCAGGTACTACATGAGATGCTTGCCTGAACATAGTCTCATTTGACCCTCAAAGCAGTCCTGTGTATTGTACATGTATCACTATACTGATTTTCAAATGAAGAAACTGAGCCCCAGTCTGGATATCATTTGCCAAGTTTTCCAAAGTCTCTCTCTCTCTCTCTCTCTCTCTCTCTCTCTCTCTCTCTCTCACACACACACACACACACTCATTATTGTAAGTCATGGAGAAGCACGTGTGCACGTGTGCATCTCCTAAGCCCAAGCTTCTAAATCTTAACATAAGAAGGGGGGAGGCCATGAAGAAATTTGGTTCTACTCACATAGCTGTATGCCAGTATATCTTAAAAGCTGCTTTTCCTTCTTTTTTTTTTTGGCCGTGCCATGTGGCATGTGGGATCCCAGTTTCCCCAACCAGGGATCAAACCTGCGCCCCCTGCACTGGAATCACTGGACCACCAGGGAAGTCCCTGTTCTTCCTTCCTTTTGGATTTCTTATTTACTTATTCCCTTTACTTAGTTTACAGCAGATCCCATAAGTTAGCTCATTCAACATCCATTCTAACCTTTTCTGGTCTGCCAGAAAATTTCTGTACAGATTTTTTGCAGTTATAGTGGTTGTATGTGAACTAGTTTCTGCCAGTTTGTTGCACTACTGCAAAACTTGGAGGCAAAGTGAAGGATATCAATGTGTAGAGAGTTTAGATCATTTGGCAAGACAGTAATGGAAATGTCTGGTTGCTCTGGGACAGCAATGGCACAGGTCTCCAGAGCTATACATCATGAATTTCAGGAAGCAATAGTTAGTGATGTTTCTGCTATTAATCACATGGTAGTATTGAATATTTTTCTCTACATGGAGCATGTCTTTGTAGCAGCCAAGCCTGGTTCCCAGACATTCCATGATATTCTGTAAACTGTTACCTTCTAATAAACACCTTCTGCTTAAACCAGCTAAAGTGGGTTCTGTTGTCTGCAACTAACAACCCTAATATACCCGGTTAATTCCTATGATCTTTTAAGAATCAACTGAGGCATCATTTCTCCCAGGAAGCCTTTCCTAATATGCATTCTCAATTCAGATTGGATGTCATTCCTCTTTTGTCCCATGGAATACACCAACCATGCTTACCTCTATTATGGCACTTATCACACAGACCATAATTCAGTTCTGCCTTCCAAACAAGACTGAGCAAGGAAAAATCCAGTTTTCCTTTGTATTCATAGAATCTAATGAAGTTATTTAAATTAATGTAAATATTATCATTGAAAACTAACATACTTATAGTAGAGTGCCCTAATATGAGTATACAGTTCAATGAATTTTAACATAATAAACATACCCTCACTGAAGGTAATCACTATCCTGACAACTAAAACCACATAGTAGGTTTGTCTACTTTGAATTTTATATAAACTCAGTGTCGTTTTTTTGTGTGTATCTAGTTTAATTCACTCAACAATATGCTTTAAGATTCATTCATGTGTATGGTTTTATCTTATTTAGTATATTGTGTCATTGTATGACTATTTCACCATTTATCCAATCTATTGTTGATGGACAGTAGTGTTATTTCCACTTACAGGGCTATTATAAATAACGCTATAAACCATAAGCAAAACAAAAAGACAACCCACAGAATGGGAGAAAATATTTGTAAACAATGTGACCCACAAGGGATTAATCTCCAAAATATACAAACAGCTCATGCAATATCAAAAAGACAAACAACACAATCAAAAAATGGGCAGAAGATCTAAATAGACATTTCTCCAAAGGAGACATACAGTTGGGCAAAAAGCACATGAAAAGATGCTCAGCATCGCTAATTATTAGAGAAATGCAAATCAAAGCTACAATGAGCTATCACCTCACACCAGTCAGAATGTCCATCATGAAAAAGTCTACAATCATACTAAATACTGGAGAGGGTGTGGAGAAAAGGGAACCCTCCTACACTGTTGGTGGGAATGTAAATTGGTACAGCCACTATGGAGAACAATATGGAGGTTCTTTAAAAAACTAAAAGTAGGGGCTTCCCTGGTGGTCAGTGGTTGAGAATCTGCCTGCCAATGCAGTGGACACGGGTTCGAGCCCTGGTCTGGGAAGATCCCACATGCCACGGAGCAACTAAGCCCGTGCGCCACAGCTACTGAGCCTGTGCGTCTGGAGCCTGTGCTCTGCAACAAGAGAAGGCCGCGACGGTGAGAGACCCGTGCACCGCGATGAAGAGTGGCCCCCACTTGCCGCAACTAGAGAAAGCCCTCGCACGGAAACGAAGACCCAATACAGCCAAAAATACATAAATAAATAAATTTATTTATTTTAAAAAACCCTAAAAATAGAACTACCATACGACCCAGCAATCCCACTCCTGGGCATAGATCCAGAAAAAACCATACTTCAAAAAGACACATGCACCCCAATGTTCTTTGCAGCACTATTTACAATAGCCAAGACATGGAAGTAACCTAAATGTTCATCGACAGATGAATGGATAAAGAAGATGTGGTACATATATACAATGGAATATTACTCAGCCATAAAAAAGAGTGAATTAATGCCATTTGCAGCAACATGGATGGACCTAGAGATTATCATACTAAGTCAAGTAAGTCAGACAGAGAAAGACAAATGTCATATGATTTCACTTATATGCGAAATCTAGAAAACAAACTTATTTATAAAACAGAAACAGACTCACAGACTTAGAAAACAAACTTATGGTTACCAAAGGGGAAAGGATAAATTAGAAGTTTGGGATTAACATATACACACTACTATATAAAGAATAGATAATCAACAAAGACCTACTCTGTAGCACAGGGATTTCTACTCAATACTCTGTAATAACCTATATGGGAAAAGAATCTGAAAAAAGAGTAACTATATGTATATGTATAACTAAATCACTTTGCTGTGCACCCAAAACTAACACACCATTGTAAATCAACTATACTCCAATATAAAATAAAAATGAAAAAAAATAATGCTACTCTGAACATTCTTTTTTTTAAAATTAATTAATTAATTTATTTATCTTTGGCTGCATTCGGTCTTTGTTGCTGTGCTCGGGCTTTCTCTAGTTGTGGCAAGTGGAGGATACTCTTTGATGTGGTGTGCAGGCTTCTCACTGTGGTGGCTTCTCTTGTTGCAGAGCCTGGGCTCTAGGTGCCTGGGCTTCAGTAGTTGCAGCACGTGGGCTCAGTAGTTGTAGCTCTCAGGCTTTAGAGCACAGCCTCAGTAGTTGTGGCACACGGGCTTAGTTGCTCCTCGGCATGTGGGATTTTCCCGGCCCAGGGTTTGAACCCATGTCCCCTGCACTGGCAGGCGGATTCTTAACCACTGCGCCACCAGAGAAGCCCTGAACATTCTTATAAATATCTTTTGTGAAAATAAGCATTTCTGTTGGGAATTTACGTAAATGTGAAATTGATGGATTGTTTGGTATGTATATGTTCAGTTTCAGTGAAAACCGCAGTTTCTGAAATAAATTCCCACTAAGAGTAGATGAGAGTTTCAGTTGTTCCACAACCTCGAGAACATTCAGAATTTTCTGTCCTTTTTGTTTTTGCCATTGTAGTTGATATAGTTGTATTGCATTGTGCTTTTAATCTGCATTTACCTAATGAATAGTAAATATGAGCACATTCATAGGTATCTGTTGGACACTTGCATATCCTGTTTTGTGAAGTGCCTTTTGAAAGTCTTTCACATTTCTATTTGGTTGTCTGCCTTTTTCTTATTGATCAGTAGTAGTTCTTTATGTAGCCTAGATATTACTCCTTTGTTGGAGATATGTATTGTAAATATCTTCTTCCACTTTCCTTTCATTCCTTAATTGTTATCTTTTGATGAACAGAGCATCTAATTTTTGGTATTACCAATTTGTCAAATTTTCCTTCAGTCAGCACTTCCATGTTCTTTTAAGGAATCTGCCTACTCAAAAGTATTAAAGATAGTATACTGTTTTCTTCTATTTAACTTCTTTTTTTAATCTTTAGATATACAATTCATCTAGAATTGATTTTTTTTAATATAAAGTAAGGTAGGAGACCATGATTATTTTTTCCCATATAGATAAGCAATTGACATGGAATTGGAAATACCATCCTCACCCACACTAAACTGTGTCATAAATCAGGTGACCACATATGAGTCAATTTAGCCCATTTTTAGGTCTCCAGTATGTTCCACTGGTTTATTAATCTATACATGTGCGAATACCACACTGTCTAAATCACTGTTGCAGTATAGTAAGTTTTCATAGCAGGTAGTGCAATTTTTTTAGCTTTCTTTTCCTTAAGATCACCTGAGCTATACTTGACCTTCTGCATTTCCATATAAGTTCTGGAATCTGCTTTAAAAAAGTCTAGTGTTTTTAATGGATTTTCATTAAAATTGTAGATACCGATAACTTCAGACAGATAGTAATAGCTTTTCAATATGTCTTCTAATCACTGAACGTAATACATCCCTCATGTTCTTTTTTTTCTAATTTTTTAATTATATTTTTTTGAATTTTATTTTTTCATTCAGCAGGTTCTTATTAGTTATCCATTTTATACATATTAGTGTATATATGTCAACCCCAATCTCCCAGTTCATCCCACCACCACCCCACTGCCATTTTCCCCCCTTGGTGTCCATACACTTGTTCTCTACATCTGTGTCTCAGTTTCTGCCCTGCAAACCAGTTCATCTGTACCATTTTTCTAGGTTCCACATATATGCATTAATACACGATATTTGTTTTTCTCTTTCTGACTTACTTCACTCTGTATGACAGTCTCTAGATCCATCCACGTCTCTGCAAATGATCCAATTTCGTTCCTTTTTATGGCTGAGTAATATTCCATTGTATATATGTACCACATCTT